AAATGATCCTGCTGCTTCCTGCGGGTTATTAGTCATTCTTGTTTTGATCTTCCTTGTTGTCCTTGTCTTTATCGTTCTTCAAAACAATCCCTGATATCGCTTCTCCGATGATAGCGCCGATAAATCCGCCTACCATTACATAAGGAACTGCATCTTTCTCAACCACCTTTGCATAGAAGTAAGTGGTGAGTGAAGCCAATAAGGTGACAGAGGAAACAATCGTTTTCTCATTTATCATCCTTCGTATTTGTTTAGTTTATTGTTTTGATCGAATGAGTAGCGTGGTGGCGACTCCTGAAATAAAAAGCATTCCGGCAGCGATCAACCTGTTTTGGAATTTCTTTTTCTTTTGCTGTTTTAAAACTGTATTCAAATCTTCTGTCAGTTGCTGCTCCCTTAACGACTGCTCTTTTACTAAATCCTGCATTTGCCTGTAAGACCTGTTGCAAGACATTAATTCAGAATCCTTCACCGCTACCAAGTCTTCATTTAGTTTCAACTTTGTTTCATAGATCGAAAACATTGTGTCTGTAATGGCGTTGAGCTTATCAATCCGTCCAGTTAAACTATCAATCAATTCGTGATCCGTGCATGGTAGCGAGTCATGAACAATTGTGTTTTTTAATTCATTAATCTTTTGTCGCTCGTGTAGCAAACTGTTTTTATTTGCCTTTAATTGTACAGTAACAATCTTTAATTGTCCACTTAGAAATTCATTTCGTTTTTGCAAAATGGAATCGCTGTGCAGTTTATTTATATCAATTTGTTTGGCCTTGATTTCAACAACCGGTTTGGGAGGTACTAAAATTTGAGCCGTATTAGAATCGTTGAACAAGAGATATCCGGTAAAGATTCCTAGACAAAAAGCGATGATGAGATAAAAGGTTTTCATGTGTGTTTTAAATTTTAATGATGGGTTAATGATTATTTATGCTTTTGGATCGCTTTTCTTTTCAAGAGAGTAACCGAATGCCGATGCACCGATCATGCTCATGAAAGAAAAGAACATGTACTCCAGGAATATGCAATCCAAAGAACTGCTGGCTGATCCAAGCCACCATGCTCATTATCACATAGACAAGTGCTATTGCTTCACGCAAGGAAAAGTTTCCGTCCTTAT